TAGCAATGCTAGAAATCAGACCAGTCTGTTACAGTAGATGGCTAACAACAGCACTTCGGTTTTGCAGAATTTGGTTGGCAAATCATAGGCTTACTGATGAAAATCTAGAAAATTTACAAATGATTGTAAATTTTATTGTTAGTGTTTACATACCTAACTGGTTTAACAATAAAGTCAAATCAAATTGGATAAAGGGACCTAGACATATTTTGTATCAACTAGAGCTACTTAGAACACAGAATAAAAATGTTTTCAATATTTTTACGCCAATAATTAGGCAATCAGCGTGGTATGTACATTCTGAAGCCATTTTACAAGCCATGCTTTGCAGCAAAAATACAGAAGAAAGAAAAGAAGCTATAACTAAGATTCTTAAGATTCGAGGAGAAGGAGATATTGTAACTCAAATTTGAGACTATCAGAGTAGTATCAGAGTAAGAAAAACAACATAAATAAATCCAAATGCTGATCAGCTAGGAGACCTTATAACATGGGATTTAAATGTAACTGAGCCATGTTTACACAGTTGAGAGAAGAGAATCTTATATACATGCTCAGCTTGCAAGTAGACATGTAAAGTCAAGAAATGGGAGTAAAAAAGATATGGCAACCATTGTTGAAATGCAGGCTGAGTAGCTAAAAACTATAAAGCGATGTCTTAATTAAAAACTTGTATCTTAATACTCTTAATAGATAGAATTGGGTAAGCCCTACAGTATATGGTAAAAGGGGAAATTTTACGGACTCTTTTTCAAACTGCAGAGTATTTTATTAATATCTAATTGTAGAAGGGTTTTTAGAAGTTCAAGCCCTTACGCCTGTTTTTATAGTTGTTGTTGTTGGTGGGGGGGGGGGTTAGTCACGGCATTGCCTTGTAAAAATGACTATTAGGGAACACCAGCGCTTATTTAATATAAATATACATTTTTAAATTTCAGTATTTAAGCACTATTGTTTATTAAGAACATTGTACATCGTGATAATAGGTATAAAAACAATTTGCAACAGTGCAATTTAATTAAAACAACAACAACAACAGTGCAGTTTAATTAAAAACAACAAAAACAACAGCAAAAACAAACAACAAAACAAAAACAACAAAAACAAAACAAAAACAAACAACAAAAACAAACAATAAAAACAATTAACAAAAACAACAACAGTGCAATTTAATTAAAAAAATAATAATAAATATTTAAATGACCAAAAGTGTAAAAATTCATATCAAAATTTACCAAGCTAGCCCTTAATAAAATTTAATTTTTAAAATTTCTCTGTTCTTGACAATCATAAAATTACTTTTTTTCATTACTCTTTTTTGATATTTGAAAAAAAAAAATCGACACACCCTAGTGAGTATGCATATTATATATATGTGATAAAATGATTTATGTGAAAAAGTTGTGGTTAACTTTTTGACCTTGTGGTAGATGTTTTATCTTAGCTTTAATATTTAAATTAATATTATTAAACAGTCTAAATACATGTTGTTTTTGTTAAATACATGTTGCTTTTGTTAAGGAAAGAAATATTTAAAACAAAGAAACGAAAGAAGCAGAATCTTATTGAGTTTATATAATCGAGACTTCAAATTTTATTTGTTTATATTCTAGAAACTTTTTTTTAAAAAAAAGATTACAAATACTTTTTAATAATGAGTCTAATTGCAAATACTTTTTAATAATGAGTATTATTTTGCATTTTTAATAAAAGTACTAATAATGAGTGATTACTCATCAAATGTGAAAACTAGACAACTAAATTAGAAAAACAACTCTCAACCTTTTCCAATAAAATCAGGAACTAAATTGTCTAATTTTATTGGAAAAGGTTGAGAGTTGTTTTTTCGGATGTACCCACAAAAAGATCAATAATTCAAATGGGAATTCTTCTAAAGGTTAGCTTTTAATTTTTTTTAAACTTTTAAAATATTTTATATTATATAAAAAATATATATTCAATTTATATCTACCTTTTAGGAAAGAAAAGAAATGGAGTTTAAGTGTAGAAAACATAATTTTGTTACAAAAGAACTAAGCAGAGGACTTGCTTAACTGGTGACAGCTCAATGCTTAAAAGCAAATAGTCAGTTAAAATCACAAGTTACATTTCGGAAAAATCACTCGCTGAAAAAATAGAGAGACTATGGAATAAAATATCCAAGTTTTTCAAAAACGCAAAACCATCCAAAAAAACAACTAATAAAATAATCAATGACCTTGATAATCTCTTTGATATCATAGCATGTACTCATACAATCAATATATGCACAGAGGCAACATCATTCTGCAATGATCCCAAAAACTGCAAAATAGATGCACATGTTTATTGTTCATATCCTCTATTACAAAAAGTTCCTGTACTTGATCTTCTTTGGCTTCATTATCACAGACTTAAATTGGTTTATGTGATTATAAAGAATCGATTCGCCTACATAGTGAAAAAATAAAAAACATTCAGGAAGAAGATGAAAAAAAATGAAAGAAAAAATGAGTTTGATGAATTTCAGGTTGGCTAAATTACAATGAATAAATGGACCTCTTTAATTATTTAAAACATTTCTTACCGCAATCTAAAATAGACTTTAAACTAACTTTTAAATGTTTAATATATATCTTTTTTGAATTTAAAAGTTTATATATTCCATTATATATATTATTACTTACCAATATTGGTAAGTAATAATATATATATTATAAAAACTGTATTTGTAAACAATTTAGAATCATGAACTAGTTTTCAACTTTCTGGAAAAAAACAACAATGATACATACAATATAAATACTGCTCAACTAAAGTAGGAAACAAAAACTTTGGTCAACAAGTTGCTTGAAGAAAAGCTTGGAAGATTGGCATCACTGGTTACAAGATACTTTGAAAAACCAAGTTTAAAGCAAAAAAAAATGACTACAACACATGTGGCATCAACTGCAATAAGATATAATATTTCCTATTTTGGTGCGAGAACTATAATCCCTGGTATAATAAAAGATTTTATAGCTGCAGGTTATCTTTTTCCTGATATGTTATACTTTTCTGCTGACCCAAACAAAACACGAAAGGCTAAGAATAAAGTAATGAACGGAAGTACAATGATTTAAGCTAATAAATGTAGCATTGAAAATACAATTGGAACCGAGTATGATGGAAGAAAAAAAAATTTCACCCTAGAGTCATAAAAGAGGAGCATATAAGTATAACTTGGGAGCCAACTGGACATTATCTTGCTCACATCACGCCTGAACTAGCCATTCATCTGAGATTTCAAGGTTCTTTTGTGTCTAGAGTTTAAACCAGAGCACATAGTTCATTAAATTAAAAGAAAAAATTTGGAATAGCTTTTAAACTTAAGTTTAAATGTCCAATATATTGTTTAAATGTACAATGGTTAGTTTCAATTGTTCTGCACTTCAAAAAGAAATTAAACATTAATTGTAATAATTTAATGTTTTACAGTATGTGTATGGGTTATCAATCTATAAAACTTTTCCTTACATTACTGAAACATCTTCCTCTATATATATATAAAATATATTATATAATTTTTTTTTTTTCAATTAAAAATTGTTTTTATTACTTCATGATAAAATTGAACAGACATGGTTGTGTCAATTAATTACAATTAGATTACAAAACTATCCACTATGGCACAATATACAGATAGGGTGCCTAAAGAAGAAAATACTATATAGCAAAAATTATTTAAATAAGAACAGTAATTTTGGAATTATTCAAAAGATAATAAAAAAATGAATATTGCTTCAATCAATCAAGTTGTAATCCAAAAAGTTTCAAAAAATGTAATGTTTCAAGCTGCTAAAGAAATAATAGCATTAAAAAAAAGATCCATTTGCCACACAGCAAAATTCAATTTTTATCTCATTCAGTTAAACAGATAAAATGTGATGCAGGCCTAATTGATAAATAGCCTAAATAGCACTTGGCAGCAATGTGGATTTAGTTCTAATAATGGAGTCATTGCAGCAATTGTCACAGGTTGGGTATTCAGTATTAAGATCATGAGTAAATTTTGGCAGGCATGTATCAACCTTTTTATATGGAAACATTCAAAACCAAAGAAATATACAAATTTAGCCCATAAAATATACTAATTAACCGGTAATTGATACTCATAAAAATTACTCAGCTACTGTAGCAGGGATGTTTCAAAAACAGCTTGACCAAAATTTATCTTATTTGGATAGTTTGCTGATTATGTATCAAGTTGTGCCATAAACATCAAAATTATATGAATATATGCGTAAAAAACAAAATATAAAGTTTTTATATGTGAAATAAAACTAACATCACATTTATATCATTAAAAGAAATATGGTCATTTGTTGACCTACATGTGGCCAACATGTTATTATTCTTAAGTTTTTAAAATTAAAAGTAAAAACTTGTTAAATTAAAAGGTCAATATGTCAAATTTGTTAAATTGATTGCTTAGAACACACATTATTTATTAATTATTATAAATTGGAAATAACAAAATAGCATTGGTAGATGAGTATTATAAGGTTCTATCTCCTAATTTTTATGGAGAAAAAAATTTAGTTTTCTTTTTATAATTTATAATATTATTTTTGTGTTCAAAATTATATAATTTAAGTATATTAATTACATTATTATTAATTGTATAATATTTAAAAACGTATGTTTTTGTTTTTTCATTGTTAACATCAACCTAATTTAATAAAGTTGCAATTAACAACTAATTTGTAAATAAACAATTTTAAAAATTGTAAAATTATTAATGTAAAATTAATTATAAAACATAAATAGCATAAAAAACATATTTTATTAATTTAAACAACAGCTGCAAAATAATTAAATAATTAAAAATCAAAAGTTAAATTCTCTAATTGTTAAAAAATAGAGATACAACATAACTACTCTAACGTCACGAAATGACAATTATTAAATAAATGAAAGAAAAGAAAACAAAAAAGTTTCAAGACAAACTGAAAACAAAGTAAATAAGAAAAATGTTTCACCATCTTTAAACTTCATATCAGAGAGAATTCCTAAAAAAAAAAAAAAAAAGATATATATATGTGTGTGTGCAAATAATATGAGTGGGTCAGAAGCCAAGGGGTACAAGTGACATTTTCATAGTTTTGAGATACAGCTGTTTAAAGTTAAAGTATTTTTGTTAAATATACTCAGCTGTTGTTATGTTTTTCCAGTAGAAAGCAGCACAGGGCAGAGATTCACTTGTATCCCTTGGCCACCAACAATTTTGTTTGCTTCTTCTATCAAATTCTATATTAAACTTAATTTTGGTAAAATTGTCACTTGTATCCCTTGGATTCTGACGCACTCATATCTTTATTCACAAGGTAATACTAAGTAGATTTTCATTAGCAATAAATTTACTTTATATTACTTTAAATAAAAAAATACTTTTTGGTTACTTCAGAATGCAAATTTAGAAAAAAAATTTACATTAACTTTTAATAATTACAAAAGAAGTATAAAATCAAATTTTAACTAAAAAATTTACCATATCTCATATTAATAGTGCTAATATCTTCTCTTTTACGATTTTCAAAGGCATATTCATTCTTATCTGAAAATTTCATAAAAATTTTAACAATATATATATATATATATATATATATATATATATATATATATATATATATATATATATATATATATATATATATAAATATATATATATATATATATATATATATATGTGTGTGTGTGTGTGTGTGTGTGTGTGTGTGTGTGTGTGTGTGTGTGTGTGTGTGTGTGTGTGTGTGTGAGTGTGTATTTAAACAATTTTAAAAACTGCATTCTACAAATTAGAGTGCTCAATGTTCTTGAAAGAACAGAGCAATTATAAATTAGTAGAAAATAACTTACCAAATTTTTTTTTTCATTTTACACTGTGTTTCATCAATAAAGACTCATCAGAAAAATGATGAGTCTTTATTGATGAAACACAGTGTAAAATGAAAAAAACTTTTTGTTAAGTGATTCTCTACTAATTTATATATATATATATATATATATATATATATATATATATATATATATATATATATATATATATATATATATCAAAACATAAAACTTTTTTCTAAAAAACTTTATAATTTATTAACTTTACTTTTGTTTTAAAGAATTATAAAATTTTGCTTTGTATATTATATTTATAATTTTACTTTTGCTTAATTTGAAATTAAAAAAGTAATTTATAGTATATTAAAAGTCTGTCAAAGTTATGGGATTTAATAAGTTTTAAAAGAACTAACAAAATTTATTTAAATAAAGTGAAAACTAAAAAGAAAATGTTTTAACATGTTTAAAACACATTTTTTCCTACTTCTTTCTTAAATGATGCGTTCGACTGGTTTTGATACAATATTGCGCTTTTAAAGCACTTTTACCTTTGCTTATGATGCCTCCTAAGCTCCACTTCCTGATCCAATAACATTTCCAGAGTAAATATTTCAATTATCTCCTTTTTCATTTTTTGTTTCTTTCTCCCCCACACTTAAAAGTAACAATGAAAGCTGGAAATTGTTTTGGAAAAAAATGTGAAAAATTGTTTTGGAAATTGTTTTGGAAATTGTTTTGGAAATTGTTTTGGAAATTGTTTTGGAAAAAAATTAAACTAAAAACTACTTTCTTCTATTGTTATTATTTCATGAAATTTAAAGGCTCAGATTAATTAAAGAGTAAATTATAGTAAATAATAATAATATATAAAATATATTATACGTGGTGTGTTCAAAAATTAAGGTGACTTTTCAAATTTCGCGGGCAACGTACTTTCGATTTGTTTTGTGATGTTGGTACATCTTCCCGAACATCTGTACCAACTTTCAAGTGTATAGCATTTTTTGTATGGTTGTGAGAGGCGCAAAGGTTATAAGTGTTTTGCGTGCCAGGCGATTTTTCGCTATCAAAAAATATGGATCAAAGGATTTGCATCAATTTTTGTGTAAAAAATAAAGTAAAGTGCTCCAAAACACTTGAAATGTTGGCAGTGGCATACGGTGAAACTGTTCTGAGTAAAAAAAAATGTTTACAAGTGGTACAAACTCTTTCAAGATGGCCGGGAAGATGCCAATGACAAGCCTCGCTCTGGACGCCCAACCACGTCAACAACTGATGAAAACGTTCAAGCAGTGAAGAAAATTGTTGTGGAAAACCGTTGAATCACTATCAGAGAAGTTGCTGGTGATGTTGGTATATCGCTTGGTTCGTACCATGAAATTTTTTCCAACGTTTTGGGCATGAAACGTGTGTCAGCAAAGTTTGTTTCGAAATTGCTCAATTTTGACCAAATGAACCGTCGCATGAGCATCGCTCAAGAAATGTTGATTGACGTCAACGACAACCCAGATTTACTTAAAAGGGTCATAACTGGTGACGAATCATGATTATATGGTTATGATATTGAAACCAAAGCCCAATCATCCCAATGGAAGAGCCCAGTTGAGCCAAGACCGAAAAAAGCACGCCAAGTTCGATCAAATTTCAAAGTTTTGCTCACTGTTTTCTTCGATTACCATGGCGTGGTGCATTAGGAGTTCTTACCACATGGTTGTACGGTCAATAAACAGTATTATCTTGAAGTTATGCGCCGTTTGCGAGAAGCAATACGAAGAAAGCGTCCAGAATTGTGGAAAAACAATTCATGGCTTTTACATCACGATAATGCCCCTGCTCACTCATTTTTGCTTGTGAGAGATTTTTTGGCCAAAAACAACACCACAATCATGCCTCAGCCACCATTTTTACCGGACTTGGCCCATGTGACTTTTTCCTGTTCCCAAATCTAAAAAGACCTATTAAAGGACGGAGAGTTGCAAAGATTAAAGAGATAAAGACTGCATCGCTGGAAGAGCTCAAGGCTTTACCAAAAAGTGCTTATAAGAAGTGCTTTGAGGATTGGAAAAACCGTTGGCATAAGTGTATTGTATCTGAGGGGGATTACCTTGAAGAGGAAAAAATAAATATTGATAAATAAATATTTTTTTTTAAAAATACTAAGTCACCTTAATTTTTGAACACACCTCGTAAATACCATATAAATTATAGCAAGTAAAAAATATTGTTATTAACTTATTATTTCTTTCCAACTCTGTTACACGTTATTCTGAGTTGAATATTATTAGAATGTTATTAACTGTTAAATTTAATTTCACTGATTCTAATGTTTGCATAAAGTTAGTAATGCGAAATAGTAAAAATCTATTAAGAGAAATAAGATGTTATAATATATTTTATAAAAAGAAAGAACAAAAAAAAATTATATTTCTGAAAAAGATTGTGAAAAACATAATTTGATAGAAATGAATTAAATTCCTGTAAAAGTAATAAATTGCAAATTAAGTTCATGAAAAAAAAAGTGGCAATTTAGTTTAATTTGTAATATCATTTTTTTTAGTAATATAACTTTTTGTTAAATTTGTTCACAATTTCTTTTAGTTTACAATATTAAAAAATCCGAAGGTAAAGCTGTAAATTGAAAAAATAAAATCAAGGCTTATTTTAAAAATGAGCACAAAAATGGTAGATATAAAAATCTGTATACAAGTTTTATTAAAATAATATTACACAACTGTTTACATATGATCATTTTATAGTGGAAAATGATTTGAAAACAACTAAATATCATATAATTAAAAGATATAATGTATAATTAAATTTATGTTTCATCAAAATAAATGTAAAATTAAAAATATGTATAATGAAAAGATATGTATAATTAAAAGATATGTATAATAAAAGATATGTATAATAAAAGATTTGAATAATAAAAGATATATAATTAAAAGATATATAAATAAAAGATATAAGTGCTTTGAAGTTGAAAGACAAAAATAAAAAAAGGTTGAAACGAAAAGACAAAAAATGACAAAAAGTAAAATCAGCCAACTGGCTAACTTATTTTGACAATAATTCTACAGCAACTATTAGAAAAGGAACCAAAAAGTTCACAATTTCAATCACAAACATAAGCACATTATTAAAAACAAAAAAACAAAATCAAATACCATCACCGGAAGTCACAAGCAAAGTGGTGAAAGACCTGTTGCATATCCTTCTTGAAGATTTTTTTATAATAAGTTTTTTATGTATGATTGACTTATTTTAATTAAATTTTTAAACCCCAATTGTTTAGGATGATATTTATTACTCCAGTGACCCCAAGAATGCTTCTTGTACAAAAGAAAAACTAAATTTGAAAGCAAAAAATATGTGTTTATAAAATACTTTTTCTGGGCCAAGATTAAGAGGTAAAAATATTAGGATGTTTTTCCTTTACGATCCAGAAAAAAAAATTATTTTTATTTTTATTATAAGCAAAGCCAACGTAAGTGTATGCAAATATCTAACTTACGTAAACTTCAAATTATGTGAAAAACATACTAAAACATATATCAAGTTTTACAGTTTCATTTTCACTTGAAAATTGAATCGCAGCAACATCTCCTTACAATATGATCTGTATCACATTTTTCTATTTTATAAAGGCTTTTGTGTATTATTATATAGTTTTAAAACCTTTATTGATCTACGTAGTCGAGAGGGTAGCACGTTGGGTTTCTAATGCGGAGGCCGTGGTTCGATTCTTGCCATTAGTCTTATTTTCTTTTTTTTTTAATTAAATCTGTATCAATTTTTCTAAAATTTAAAATAACTTTTGAAAAAAGAAGTTTATTTTGAAAGAAATAAAGTTGTTTCGTTTTCCATTTTAAAACAAAAATTTGAAAATAAAAAAGAAAGTGAACATATTTCCTCATGTTTTTTGAAACTTTAAACGATGCCAATTATTTAACTTATTTCAAGCGGGTATTCTGAATATTATTTTGACAGCTCGGTGGGAAATGAGCTAGTGACTAGCGAGCGACTAGCTAGCTTTATGGCGATTTTCTAGCGATTTTTTTTTTCCTATTTTGTTATTTCCTACTGTCTTTAACATCTTTAAAAATTCGTTTTTTAGTGTTGAGTCTATTATAATTATGAGAATAATCGAACTTTAAACATTGTGATTTTGTAGCAATGTGTCGCTAGCTACTTACCTTAGCTTTGTAGCTAGCTATAAAATATCTACAAATCTAAAGCTGGTTGATAGGTCGATATCAAATTTTTTTAGACAACGACTTTATTACGATATGACGCTAGCTACAATAGCCAGTGGGTCTTTAGCTTATTAAGCTGACTGTCCCCTTAACCAAATGTCTGTCTTTATCTTTACAAATATCGATAGCTTTTTGCTAACTTAAAAAAGCTACTATTTCTCGTGGCCAATTCGCTGTCTTCGTCGTTACGATTATAGCTAGCTATTCGCTAGCCGATTTCCCACCGGGAGGTACTAATATCCAATCCGTTGATAAATAGCGATTCGCGCAACCGCTATATAACGCTTAAAGCTTTTTAAATTTAATTAAAACAGAAAAAAAAAAAAAATTTCATAGCTTTAAAATGTAAACAATGAGTATAGTTTTTCTATATGTAATTAGTTATTTTTCTGCCGCTGACACAAAAATATTGAAGAAACGTTTAAGTATAGAAAAGGTCGGTGTAAAATAGATTTACCAAGAC